TTTTTTTTTTTTTTTAAGTGCTATCAATACAGCCCCACTTGTCTTGAACCTGTAGCAATTGTAATGTCATGAAAGCAATTCATTTGTAAATGTTCTGTTCAAACAGGAGGTTCGAAAACTTCCAAAGATTTTGGATCGCATTCGCAGCACCTACCGACTTACGCTTCGAAAGTGCAGGATGGATGCTGAGAGAAACAAAGTCAAGCAGAAAATGAACACCTCTCTCAATGGAAGCTTCCTCCTCCAAGCCACCCCTCGAAAATCAAAACCTGTGACCAGGTATGCAATTATCTACTATCTATAAAAAAAAATTTCCATAGTCTGTGTTGTAGGGAAGACACTGATACCATCAACCTTCTGATTTCCCTCAGGTTTGCTCCCGACTGGGTTCTACGGCGTGACAAATTAAAGGACATTGTGGATCCTCTTTGTGCCATTCAGATGCTGGCTAACGCTCTGGCTATTGTGCCTTGAAAATATTGCAGCAAGGAAAAGTCTATAAACCTGTGCACTGCCAAAGTGTTTCATTGTTGCTCAGAATTGTGCACCCTTGTAAATATTGTGTATTTTTGTATTGTGAATATTTTGAATACTTTGTTTTATCAAAATGTTGTGGTCTTTATTGGAGCATATTGGGGTCTGTGCTAAAAGATGGCATGTTAGCTCTAAGATTCTGTAAATACAAGTGCAGTTTGGATGATTTATTTTAAAGCGCTGGAACCGAATATTAAAAAGAACCACAGCTTATGTTCTGGTGCCGTTCTTGACTGAAATAACAGAATTAAAACAAAATTTTTAATGAGCCATTGTGTATTTTTTTTTAAACTGTTCCTTGAAAACAAATCTGGCATTATACAAAAAAGAAAAATAACTATATTAGCGTCTGCACCAATAGGCCAAAATGTATGGTTTACTTTGAGCTTGTGCAGTTATGTAATATGCCGCTTTAAATGCTCCAGCTTCTAAAAGTCAGGTGGATTGTGATTGGCTGTAAATTTACATCGCATGAACTGGGGGAAAAAAGTTTCTGATTATTTTAAAGGGGTCATATGATGTGATTTAAAATTTGTCCTTTCTCTTTGGAGTGTTACAAGCTCTTGG